AGCTATTCCCCTTCTGGGTATTTTCCAGGAAAATCTGAAAACGTCATATCACAGCGATATATGTGCACCCATGTTCATAGCAGCATAATTTGTAATTGCTAAACTGTGGAAGCAACCCAAATGTCCATCCACTAAGGAATGGATAAAAAAAATTGTGGTACTTTTATATAATGAAATATTACTCAGCTATAAATAAAGATAAACTCAAGGTTTTTATAGGTAAACGGTCACAACTAGAGACCATACTCATAAGTGAAATAAATCAAAACTGCACATGTAAGAATCATATTGTCTCACTAGTGTAAGACCTGAAAGAGTGAATAAAGCTAGGAGGTATGATAGACATTGTGAAATGAAAGGAAAAATGCTCAAAAGTAAAGGGCAACTGGGGTGTGGGAAAAGAGAAGGGAAAGAAGGAGAAATTATGTAAGTATGTATATATTGGATAGCCAACATAGTTGTACTACTGCCTTCTATTGCTCTACAGAAAGGAACAGTTAATGATTACTTGTTGGATCAGTCTTGTATGTCACTATTTGTTTTTCTGAGAAACCACTTTGAAGATATCAATAAGTAATACAACAGCCATTTATTTCCTACAGCTTTGTCTGTAATTCTGTTTTGTTTGTATTGTTCTTATGCTATTTTGTAAATGGATGTTTGTTTGTTAATATGTTGTCCTTCTTTTATTTCTTAAAATAAATTTTAAAAAAGGACTGAGAAAAGAAACTGGGCAGATTTTATTTACCCTGGTACCTTGTGAACTTGTTAGTACACTGATCAAGTTTTTTTTCCTAGAAACATCTAAGTAATAGTGTCATTTTTTAATTGTATTGAAAGATACTGAACTGGTTTTAAGAGTGAGCAGGTGTGAAATAAAATTAACAAATAGATTTTTTCAAGGTAAGCAGACAACAGGGCAAGTCTCAAGAAAAATTTCACGAATTCCATTCTGAAATATAATTTGCTGTCCTGTATCATTTCGTATTGCTGACAACTTCTGAGTGACCGAATCCCTAGGCTATCCATCAAAGCAAAACAGTATTCTTATGAGTTAACTTCCATATTCCTATCATTTAGAGTACATGCCTCCATTCAGAACTGTGTATTGCATATATAAATATAAGTTTTTCATTACACAATCCATAGATGCAATTATAACATCCAGGCAGAGTCTTAGAATAGAATATTGTAACCCTCTCTTCAGTAGCTACTTGCGGCTGTCACTTGTTATCTGAAACTGACTCTCAGAGCCTTAAAAACATGACCGAATTTTCCAAATGTTCTAATTACTTCCCTGCCACTCCACCTCAAACTGAAAGGCTGTCCTGTGACACACGATATGAGCCACCTCCCCGATATGATTTCCACAGCATTCCCATGTGCAGCATGATCCCATAGGAGCGGGATTCTGACCTCTGTGTCTCTTCCCCATCCCTGAAAGCCTCACCCTTCAGCTTTCACAGGAGCTACTCTTTAAGGACCTGGCTCCACCAGCTAACATCAGCTGCTACTGTCAGGGTGTGAAAGTTTTTCATTCAAGGCGGCAAAGGTTAGCACTAAAAAGAATAAAATGATGGGAACAAGAGATGCAAATCTGGCTAGCCAGGGTGGATATATGCCAGAGGCATTTCTTAACATGATTACCAAAACAAAATCTGACAGCATGGATTTAGATGCACAATTTATAAAAGACCATGCCTTATTTTAAAAGCGGTAGAACATTATATCTGGTCTCTCTAGACTTGAATTTCAAAACCAATGGAAAGGCCAAATCTCCAGTTCTGAGGCTACATTTTGAATCGACTTACCTCAACTTCCACTTTTGTAAAGGGCTGGCAGAAAGTGAGCACACACAGCTGGATGCTGAAAAGAAAAAAAAGAGAGGTCTACCCTCACATGGTAATACACGGCTCATCTACTGTTCACCCAAACTTCACACACAGGTACTCCACAGCACACTTCATTCACATATATTTGCGGTGTTTATAAATACTACCCTGCAGCTATCACACTTCTTGGATCTAAACAACCATTCCTACTACTCAAAAGTTAAATAATCAATTATCTATTTGTGAATTCTGAGCCACAGCTTAATAGACTAGATGCAGAATTTGCAGTTTCCTGGACAACACAGACGCACATGCCTAAATCCCTAGAGAACCTACCTAAAGCCACATTGTAAGGTACAGAAATGTATTTACAGGAACACACCTGAATAGAACAGTATATTTTTAAGCCTTCTGGTACTTAAAAGAAAAATCAGTGGGCCTTTCCTTACAAGTAGAAACTTTATCAAAATTGTCCCAGATATTAATAAATGTTTTAGCTATAGAGAAATCAGAAACGTTTCAAATTTCACTGAAAGGCTAGACAAAGGCTTTCTTTAAAATAGTTAACTAAATCTGGCAGAGATAATTTTTGAAACCGATGTTCCACTTGCAGCTTTCCAGTAGGTATGTAGAGCCCCAGGAAAAGATTTCTGTGGGAGTTTTAATTTATACTCATTAGACATTTGACCCAGAAATCAGTCAGAGTAGATTAAATTGTATGGTAAAGAAAACAACCGATCAACCTTTTCTTGCTATTAAAATGTTTCTATTTATTTTTTAAAATTACCTTAAAGGACTTACTTAGGGAATTTGGGAGTTTAAACAAGGAGTTTAGTTTTAAAGAGGAATTTAGGAAGCAAGTTTACCACCTCCAGGTCAGGAAGGTGGCACATGCCTGTAATCCCAGCACTTAGGAGCTTGAGGCAAGAGGATCACTGAGTTGAGTTCAAGGTCAGTGTGGGCTACAAAGTGAGGTGAAGGCCAGCCTGAACTATAGCAAGGCCCTGTCTCAAGAAAAACTAGACTAAACAAACAAACAAATAAATAAATACCCTTCTGGGTATTTTTCCAGAAGAATTAAAAGTGTCATACCACAGTGACATATGTGCACCCATGTTTATAGCAGCTCCATTTGTCATAGCTAAATCTTGCAAACAACCTAAATGTCCATCAACTGAAGAATGATAAAAAAGATGTGGTATTTTTATACAATGGAGTATTACTCAGCCATAAAAAAGATAAACTTGGGGCTGGGGAACTAGCTCAGTGGCACAGTGCCTGCCTGGCAAGTGCAAGGTTGTGAGTTCGATTCCTAGTACTGGGAAAAAAAAAAAAAAAAAGATAAACTTGAGGCTTTTATAGGTAAATGGATGCAACTAGAGACCATACTCATAAGTGAAATAAATCAGACCCACATGTGTAGATACACTGTCTCCCTGGTGTAAGAACATGAAAAAGTAAATAAACCCAAAATGTACTATAGGTAATAAGAAAGGGAAAGAAATTGATCAAAGGAAGGAACAACTGGGATGAGGGAAAGAAGAAAAAGGAAGTGCTAAGGCATTATACATATATATGTATGTATATGTATATATTATATATATATATAC